TTACAGATTCTCCCTACTATTTTTTTCCCTTGCTCTTTGTACAAGTGACAGTTTACTCAGTTTTCCCACATTATGAACTCACTGTATCCCTATAATCGTATTTAACACATTCCTCTGTTAACATAAGTTTCCTGAAAGTTTATTCTTCCATCTATAGGTTTGATTGGATTCAAAATCTTTTATTTGGTTAGACTGATTGACAGGTAGTGTTTATTTACTATTGCATAGCACTGGGAAGCACATGATGCCTGCTACTCTTTCTTACTGTGGTAGGATTTGGGTGTTGTCCGCTTGATCCATTCATTATGAAATTTCTTCCAGCTTTTAATGGTTTAAGCATCCATTAATCTTACCTACACCTACTATTTCATCGAGTGTTAGAAAAAGAATGATACCTCATTCTAGTTTTTCATTTATCAGTTATAATTCTTTCATGAAGAACTATTTAACAGCCATCTGGGTCATATATGAAAGGTAGAATAAACTATTGATGTCAGTGTTCAGAATGAGTAAGTTTTCTAGCATCCTCCAAAGGTTGGCCAATGAGATTTTTACTTTCAAGTACCATTATGAAGTAATAGACTAAAACTAGTGTTAAAATCCAACTCTATTCTTACTAGTTCCCAAATTGTCCCATCTCTGGCTGGTGGAGGTTCTTTCAAGTTGAACCTGCCGTAATGGTTTTTGAGGGCTTCTTTGCATTCAGGTATAGCAGGATGTCACAAGCTCTTCTGTTTTCTGCCCAGGTTTGGATTCAGGCATTTCTTCAAGGAACCTAAGTTCTTCTTAGTCAGATGGTGTTTAGAGTGCACAGCCTGGGCTGCTCCCTGCTACTTGTTTTGATCATGTTTCTAGTTCTTGTTGGACACACTAGGAAATACTTGAGTACACCATAGGTCTACATTGATATTTTCAAATTAAATTTGGAGTTAAAGCATTATAATTTAATCTCTTTAACCTTTGTATTATTTTTCTCTTACCTTGAAAATTATGGTTCCTAATAATACTGTTGACTTGATGTATCTTACTCATATGGTAGTTTCAGACTAGCAGTACTAATACTAGAAACAATATGATTACTGGAAAGTTTGTTTTTTACTTTTTATGTCCTTAGGAAATAATCCCATTAGGGATGTATAATTAATCCAGTGTATTTTCAAGTCACTTGTAATAATTCTTTGTGTAGTTAAGCCACCAAAATATGATTTTTGCTTTTGATTTTTAGGGATTTCTCACCTTTTGTTAATTTTGTTTCATAATTTTGTGAAATATTACATGGTTCTATAGGTAAATCTCTAAAATAAGGCACATTGAGAAACAATGTCCATCCTAGTTCCTTCTACCCTATTTACCTCTTTTTATAGTAACTATATTAATTTGTACCTACACAAGTGTATGTATATATGCTTGTATTTCCATACTTTAATTAGGTAGAAGGTAGCACACTATAAACACTGCTTCTTGCTTTTTTTGAGTTAAAGTATCTCCCCATATATACCACTCCAAAGTAGATACCATATTCCTTTTTTATAGGATCATAACACTCTACTGGATCATTTACTATGTTATTATAAGCAGTTGCCTGTTGTAAACATTTGATTACTTCTAGTCCTGCTATTACAGATAGTACCAGCTATAAATAGCCTTGTGTATATGTATTTTCATGGAGATTTTTGTTATTTATGTCTGGGATGGATTCCTACAAGTAGAATTCCTGGGTCAAAAAGCAAATACAGGCATTTTTGCTGGGTATTGCCAAATTCCCTGTTATAAGAGGACAGTACCACTTTGTATTCCCATCGTCCGTGTATGAGAATACCTGTTTCCCCACAGCCTATGAACAGATTGTTACCAAACTTCACAGAGCAGTTTAAGTAGATCTGTGTTTAGAATCTTTGGCAGAAGTATATGGATTGTATGGTGAGACCCTGAAAACAGGGAGATGTATTGGGCCTTCACAGTAGTCTTAAAAAAGTGCAGGTCTTCACTAAGGGAATACAGTCATGCTAAAGATACAGCATAAGGAGGATTAGTAACTGGATAAAGGCATTGTAGGAAGAATCAGGGATAATGCCTAAGTTTCTGGGAGTATGAAAATGTTCTTTTAGAGAATACTGGGTGTCAGTAGATTAGGGAATTCCATCTTGGAAGATTTGAATTTGAGGTGCTGAGACATCTGTACTAGAAATGTAGTTGGACATAGGAATCTGGAGAGGGGTTAGAGTAGAGCTTTCAAGTATCACTAATTGTGGTGGTAAGATATGCATAGAAGATGCCCAGGAAAAGAAGAATAGTAATATTTGTGCCCTTGGCATGTTCTTGATTTTTATAAGAATAGTTTTATGTGCTCCTTCCATGTTTTTTAATGTACCAGTTGGCTTAATATCTCTTTCACTAGAATTAGAAAAAATATACTTCATTTGCATTACTTTTCCCGGTTTACTGTGTGCATATAGAATATATATACATAATACTTCTATAATTTTGTTCTGAAATACAAATTTAGTTCCAGGGCAAACATAGCTTAAATTCCCTTGCTCTGATGTATGAAATTACTTACTTTGCTTTATCTTTGGTAAACATTTTATATATATATATAAATTTAAAAACTTTGGTCAATTTCTCCAAAATATTTCCATTCTTCATATCTAATTTTGACAAATTGAGGCAAATAAATGGAGAATTTTTTGTCATTAAAATATACTTTTTTGCAGAATTAAGTATACAGAAATACATGGTAATATCAAAACAATTTCACATTACAGCTGACTAAAGAATTGCATCTAAAAAGAATAATTTTCTATCCTATATGGCCTTAAGATAGAGGCAGAAAATAAATTTACAGCTTTAGAATTAGAAAAACTGTAAAAGTTCTAGTTTGACTTCTTCATTTTATAACTTTGGGAAAATGTTGGTTATTTTTCTGACCAAACCAATGTAAAATAACATGAGTGTATCAACACCAGCTGTGTTGACTTAGAGACATCTAAATTTAGGTTTGACCATTAAAAAATGGGATTGAAATAGGAGAAGAGTAGAGTCATAGACATAACTCTGTAAGTTTCTTTAGGATGATTTCTGTGTTATAATGACAAAATACTAAAAGCTGACATTTACTTAACCCCATCTTGTACTGTTTTAAGTACTTCACAAGTCTTATTTTAGTTCTCAAAACAATCACATGAGGTACTGTTAGTTGTCATTAGGTACATACTACACAAGAGCAATGGTCAGAGGTTTAGTAACTTTCCCAAGGATATATAGTAGCAAGAAGCTAAAATGAGAATTTAAACTCAGGCAGCTGAAAATAGAACATATTTTGAGTGAAGATGCCAGAAAGATAAAGGATTCAATACTTTGTCATATAAGTTGAAGGAAAATCATTTAAAATGTTTTTAGTTAGAAGATTGAGGGTGGCAGGGACTTTTAGACTGTAAAGTATTAGGGTCTTTCGTGAAGAGAGAGTATAGGTTTATTTGTTGAACTTGGGCAGAGAATGGGTTCCAAAGCTTATCTGATACAGTCTCAAGTATCTTCCCTTTGCTGTGTCAGAGCCATGTGAAAACAGAATGGCTTTTCATAGGGTAAAAACTGCCCTCTCGTTACTTACTCTTCAAGCAGAGACTGCATGATTATTTGGAAGGCTTATGGTAGAAGGGAACTGGGGGCACTAAAGAGGGTAAATGGGCCAGAAATTCTCTGAGGCCCCTTGCTAATCCTGAAGCTTTTTGTCTTTACAATTAACTAAAATTTGAAGAGACTTGATTAAATTGGGTGATTAAAAATCCCCCCCAGGATTAATACCCACTTGTTTGAAATGAGTTAAATATGTGAATCTAAGGCTTGAATAGTACTTTTTTTTTTGATTCGGAAAAACTAAGGCTAGCTGCTAGAGCTGTTTCTACCTTCAGACCCACTTAAATTTGAGCAGTCCCCTAAGCTAGTTAAGGATTAATGGTCTCTTCCCTTAGTTCTACCTTGTTGATGCTGTCACATTTAAGTATGATATTTAATTATTGTGGTGGTCCTATAGCACAGGAGGTATCAAACTTGAGCATGCTTTAGAACTGAGAGGATTTGTGAAAAGAGATTGCTGGGCCTCATTACCACAGTTTCTGACTCAGCAGATCCAAAGTGGAGCTCAAGAGTGCATTTCTGACATGTTCCCAGATGCTGCTGATGCTGCTGATCTGGGGACCACACTCTGAGAACCACTACTATAGTAGTAGTTTGGTGTAACCAATAGATAGTGCATTCCAAGAACAGAAGCAGCTATTATTCGTTTCTTTGTCTCTCTACTACCAAGTAATACATAAAGGTGACAGATCTTAATTTTATAGAGACCACTAGGGACTGACACATTGCTATCTTTGACCTGTTGATACCAGAAGTTAGGCCTAAACTTGAAGAACCTTCTAAAGCTTTAGGTTCAGATCAAGTCTAGATTTATGTTAAGCTTACTTTTAGAAACACGAATAAAATCAAGATTCTGCTAGAATTCTTTAATATGGTTCCACTTTGTGATACATATAAAATTGTGTTTGTTTGGGTTTTTTTGCCATTAGTGACTGGCAACATCTAAGCACTAGAATTTTACCTTCCTCTTGGAAAAATGGAGGCTATTGAAACATTACTAATTTCATGTTTTTTAATAATGCATAAAGCAAATGACAGAACACAAACTGGTTCTAATTTCAGAAAAGAGATCAGCATCTAGTTCTATATAAGTAATTTTTAAACTTGGGTTAAGAAATGTGGAGCAAGAAGAACTTGGGTTTTTACCAATCTCTGTTCCACCTGGCCTCCCCCACCCCCCAAGCTAGCAAAGAATCTCTTGTTGAGATTTTAGCAAGAATTGTTTATTCTGGCAGTTAAAATCATAAATATTTACCTTAAGTGCCATTAAGAATAATTATGTCTTTTTATATTGCATATCAATTGAGTCTTCTTGGGCAATAATGATAAGCAGTGTTCTATGATTCTTCTTTCTCTCTCCTCAGGTATCCAGAAAGTGGTACTGTAGAAATAAATGTAAAGGATCTTCGACCACGAGCTAGAACTACTTTGAAATGGAATGAACTAAATGTTGGTGATGTGGTAATGGTTAATTACAATGTGGAAAGTCCTAGTAATAGAGGATTTTGGTTTGATGCAGAAATTACTACTTTGAAGACAATCTCAAGGACCAAAAAAGAACTTCATGTGAATATTTTCTTGGGGTAAGAGTCTCCAATGATGCCATTTAAATACTGAATTAATCAAGGAATATAATTTTTAGGTATTAAGTACATGTTCCTTAGTAAAAAAGGATGAAAGTTATGACAGATGGAAATTTACATACTAAAAGAATTGTTATAAATTCTTGGAAATTTTTTATTCAGAATTTTTGTGAAGAATTGCCCTTACATCTCCATTGCTACTTTTAAAGCTAAAGATACTGTTTGGAAACCTCTTGGAAATAATTATTTTATTAGAGAAATTCTTATGTGTCTCAGAATTCTTACAGATTAAACCAAATAATACACAAAAGCATTTCAAAAGGTATGGTTACTGAGAATCTATGCCAATGTAATAGCAGCAAATGTCTACCTAGGCAGCTGTCTGCTGTACTTGCAAGACTAGCTGAAATTTTCCTTCATAGTAATTTTCTTAAAGTTACAGAATTTAAAAAAGCTTAGTGAAGAGAATTCAAAATGTAAAATGTCACCCAAAATACCAAATCATTGAACAGTTTTCATCATTAACCCTTTAAGAAATACTTCTGGTGTTTACCTCAAGTGCATTGTTTCATAGCCACCTTTTTGCACTTAGGATAATATCATCACCATCTTTCAGTGTTTGATTTTTCTGAATAGAGTTTATTGGATGAATAATCGTTAACTTTTTAAAAGTCTAGTTTTTTATTATAAATGTTGAAGTAAATAACCTTGTATGTACATTCTTGTACATGTCTTTAGAATAAATTCTTAGGTCATTGGGGATTCTAGAATAACCCTTACAGTTTTCTTTCATATAAGAGAAGCAGCCAAACTAATATTCTTGTCAAATTCTGGTTAATAGGATTATTATATATAACATATAATACTATATAATATTGCATATAATGAATACCCAATAGATTAGGAATTACATATATATAATATGTTAGGTAAATAGATACCTATTATAACATGGAGATAACATCTGGGATAATGTATTGGCTTATGGCTAATATAAAGCAGGGGTCGGTAAATTACAGCCCACTGGCAGCCTGTTTTTATGAAAATAAAGTTATTGGAATACAGTAATGCTCAACCATTTGTGTATTTCCTATGGCTGTTTTTGTACTCAACATCATTGTTGAGTGGTTGCAACTGAGAGTATCTGGCTTGGAAAATCTAATAACTCTGACACTTCATTAAAAAACTTTGCTGACTCCTAAGATAAACAATGTTGTGAGGTGCTAATATAGCTTATATATTAGAAAACAATTTCAAAACTTTCTATAAACAGAAGTGTAATTCTATTGCCAGGCTAAAGATGTAACTCAATTACAGACTTCCAAACAATTTGAAATTCTAATATGGATACAAATCATGAAGAAAAGGAGAAAGCATCTATATAAATTGTTTATTATATAGGGAGTCTTATAATACTGAGTGTTAAGAAGTACAATAAAGCGTGTGTATACAATAGAAGGAGATAATACAAAAAGCATTGGGCTAAAAATACTTCCCTGAGTGATTCTGAGGTAGTTAGAGTGGAGCACCCTGGCTTTAAGGACTAGAACTAAGATTGAGTAGAAATTATACATAGGCAAATGCTGACTTGCTAGAGAGAACAATTACATGATAGCTATCCCAACACTAAAACATGCTATCCATAAAGCAAAATATGTCTGTATGGATGCTTAATTTAAGACAGAGGAGAAATAAGACTAATTGAGAAATGGACAGCTTTTCCAATAAAAACAAAACATTTCGATTCTTTATGAAATGAAAAAAAAAATAACACAAAACTGTCCTTTAAGTTTTTGCTAGATATATTTGAAACACAGCAGCCAAAAGGAGCCAGTGCATTTTGTGGATGGGAATTTTTTCATGGTTAGAAATCTTTTCCTCTCACTGGAAAGATTGGCACATAATCAGTGAAGTTATAAATGTATTCTATTTGTAGACAGTTTGAGGCTGTAACAAACAGTGCTCCATGACGTTGTTATTTGTGCCCTCCTGCTCATGTACATTAGTTTCTGTAGGGTGCATCTTGTCCAGATGTAGAAATGCTGGGTTGTAGAACCTGTGCATCTTCAGTTTTGATAGGACCAAATGTTTAAGTAGTCACAATAGGTTGTACTCCCGTAGTAGTCTGATAGTTCCCTTTGCTGTGCATTCCTATCCACACTTAATTTTATCAGATTTTTCAGTTATTGCTAATTAGGTAAGTGTATAAGAAAAGAGAGAGTGTATAATTGTGGCTTTGATTTGCATTTGCCTGACTACTAATGAGGTTGAGAACCTTTTCTTATGTTTCATGGGTAGGTTTTGTGAGGTTCTGTTTTAAACATGGTGTTTTGCTGTTAAGTGGGTAGGTTTTCATTGGTTTGTCTTTTTTTAAGAGTTCTAATTGTGGACACTTGATCATTTCAGTTGTTTGTGGAGAAAATGTGTTTTCCAATTCTATGTGTAAACTTTTCTTATGTTTGAATAGTGTTCTTAATTTTAAGTAGCTGAATTTACCAGCTTTTTTTCCTAGTGCTTATATGTTCTGTGTCTTGCTTAAGAAACCTGGGATTGGAGTGGGGGATGCAAAATGGGTGAAGGTTGGGTCAAAAGGTACAAACTTTCAGTTATTTTTAAGTTTCAGTGATGTAATGTTTAGCATGCTGGTGATAGCTAACAATATTGTATTGTATATTTGAAAGTTGCTAAGAGAGTAGGTCTTAAAAGTTCTCATCAAAAGAAAAAATTATAACTATGTGAGGTGATGAATGTTGAATAAACTTTTCGTGGTATCATTAGTCGTGTATACATATAACAATCATTATGTTGTACACCTTAAACTTACACAATGCTATATCAATTATGTCAGTAAAATGTTTGGCAGGGGGACTTTTTCCTACCTAGAGCATAAAGATACTCTCAATTATTACCTTAAAAAGCTTTGTAGTTTTGCCTTTTTTGGGTCCACTCGAAGTGGGTTTTGTGTACAGTGTGAGGTAAGGATTTGACTTAACATGATACATGGATAACATTTTTCCTAGAACCGTTTATTGAAAAGCCCGTTTTCCCCTCATTTTGATCTTAAATATCACTTGATAGTGAGTATCTCTATTTGATTCATCCATTTGATCTCTGTTCTGTACTGTTGGTCGCTGTATCATTATATCATTTCCATACTTTCATAATGTGATAGAGGTCTTATCTTGTTCTTCAATAATTCCTGCTTTCTTAGCTCTGTGTAGTTTCATTGAATTTTCCAGTCATTTTTGTAATTTCTGCATAAAAAACCCATTGGAAATATGATAGATTTTTGCATTAAATCTAATCCATGAAGTGTGATTTCTCTCCATTTATTTAGGTCTTTAATGAGTTTTCTCATGTTTTTCCTAGGTTGAACCATATGAAATGTTTTGTAGGTTCAAAATATTTGAATGTTGGCTAATACATCGTTCAACCTGATAAAATTCCAGAGAGTTCCCATCTTATGTGTCTGTTCTCCTGTTAGCCTTAGGTTAACATTTTTTACTATATTTCTACCTCATTTTTCTCTTTGTTAGTGGTATACAAGTAGCCTTTGTTCTTAATTTACGTGTAGATTGTTCTGTGGAAATTTATGATTATAATCATCATCTATGAATTGATGTTTTTATTTTGCCTTTTCCTTTGATTTCTTCTTTCTCTTATGTTTACTCATCAGCTGCCCTTTAGCACACTGTTGAAATGGTGACAGCAGGCATCTTTTCTTCCCCTGATCTTCGAGAAAAAAACCTTTCAAAATTTCACCAGTAACTATAATGTTTGATACAGGTATTTTGTGGATATGCTGTCCTGGATTTGATTTGATAATATTTTGGGTAGGATATTTTTTTTTGTATTTGTGTTAATGAGCAAAATGTGCATGTTAGTTTTCTGCTGTTCTTCACAGGTTATGCTGGTTTTATAAAATAATTGAGTGGAATATTTGTTTTCTATCTTACGGTGGAGTATTGTGTTCTCTCCTTGAATGTTTGCTAGAACTCCTCAGTAAAGTCCTCTGGGGCTGAGTTTTCTTTGTGGGAAGGTTTTCTATAATTTAATCCATTTCTGTAATGATCATAGGACTATTGAGGTTTTCTATTTCTTGAAATAGTATTTCTGAGAACTTACTGATTTTAATTTTTTTGCCCTAAGTTTATTTGGTAACCTCATTTTTTAATGTATACAGTCTTACTTGTAATGTTCTTTTTTATTCCTGAATTTAGTTTATGACTTTCTAATCAATCTCAGCAGAGGACTGTTAGTTTTATTTGACTGACAGTTTTATTTGACTTTTGCAAAGAACTAACCTTCAGCTTCTATTGTATTGAAGGTGCAAAGGAAGAAACAAATAGAGGACATGATTTTTAATCTGCTTTGGAGATTTGATAAGGGAACTTGGAATTAAAAGTTCATGCTTGTTTCTAATTTTAATTTGTGAGTACCGAAAAGTGAATATGCTTAAACTGTCTAATTCTAGTTATCAAACTCTAGTTTGTCATTTTCTGTTTCTATTTTAGGTCTTCTAAATTTTTCTAGGTGTTTTTATTTTTCTGTTTCTATTTTAGGTTGAAGAAAATGCAAAACATAAGTTTAGGGTTTAAATCCATTTTTCAAGATACTTTTTATACTTACTATTATACTGCATATTATATTTAATACCACATGAAATTATACTAGCTTTAATATCCATAAGTAGAATTTCAGTTCTATAACAAGAAAATTATTTATCTGCCTTACTGAAACTGTGATGTACTTGGTTTATTTTCAGTGTCATTTTTATAGAGTTTTATTTATTTACTTAATTTAATCCATACTTGTTTATCATGAAATCTATTTAGTGATGTTCTTACCACTGAATATATATACCATTCTTAACAGAATACGAGTTTGGTTTGTATATCGAGTTATAAATCAAAGCGTAATGTATTCCAACCATATTGGCTTCATTGTGGTGCTTAATCATATAAACATGCTCCTATTTCAGGATCTTTGCACTTGCTGTT